CTTGAAAGTTGTTATCAGCTAGCTTCATGTACTCTAAATGAGGAAGTATCCACCCAATATTCTCAGGAAGCAGATGATTGAAGTCATTAATTGGCTGACAAATCCAAGATACTCAGATTATGAGCGGATTCCGGTGGCTGAAAGCTTGTAAACGAATTATTCTGTAGAGACAAAACTTTGAGTTTCGTATTGTTTGCCAATAGCCAACAAGGAAAAACTCCAGAAATTCTATTGTCAGAAAGATCAACAATACTCAAATCTCTTTGGTGTAGGAGGAAGTTAGGAACCTTAGATAAGTTGCAAGATGGTAGTTCAATAACACTCAGCTGGCAATTTGGGTTCCAATAACTTTTAGAGTCTACTTGAAATGATTTGGATTTAGAACCAATTTTGAAAACCCTCAGCTCTGAGAGGTTAGCAAGTAGACCAAATGAGAATAAACCTTCAAAGTTATTATCTAACAATGATAAGTACTTGAGGGATCCAAGGTTACCGAGAGAAGATGGCACTTCCCCAATCAATTGGTTTGCTGAGAGATCAAGAAATCGAAGACCAGTCAAGCCAGTTAAGCATAAAGGAAACTGACCTAACAATTTGTTTTGACTAAGATCAAGCTCTTGCATATTCTTCATTTCGCAAATCCCTGCGATATGATCAAATACAAATTTACATGAGTAAACTTTAATATCACCACCAATTTTAATGCAACATCATATGATATGTTTAGACTTGCCTTGCAATCCCATTGATGAAGAAAATTCATTTAAACTTAGATCCAGAGCTTTCAGCTTCCTCAGGGAAGATAAATCTGCCACAAGACAAGATCACACAAGGGAAAATAGCTTTGCCTATGAACATGATGATTTTAAGAAAATATATTGTATCGAAAGCAGTTTTGAGCTACCTTGTAGTGATAGGGAGCCATTAAATCCATTTCCACTCAGGTCTAGCAGTTCCAAGTTTGTCAAATCTTTAAGTTCTGCAAGGAAATCCAACAAATATAAGACTTAAAATTTTATAAAATAATTATAACTATTGAATGGAACTAACATACCCCTAGCAAGAAATGGGCCATTAAAGGAGAAGTTATTGCTTAGAAAAAGCGTTGTAAGTGATTTAGCGGCATTAAGAAAGGGAAAGATGCTTTTGTTGAAACGATTACTAGTGAGATCCAGAATCTTCAGGTTTCTTAATCTCCCTAGGCTTTTATAACCTGCAGACAAGAATCTTGCTAAGCATATCAGTTATTATAATTTTCATGTGAAGGAAATTCAGATGACCGTTTGACGTGATCGCGCAACATGACACACCGACATGAACAATTCAATACAGAAACATGAAAAATCCAATCACTATATGGTCCATATATAGTAGAAAAAGGTTTAAGATATTGAGACAGTAAGGTAAGATTTACTTCATATATTAGAGCATCCCCATTAGGGGTTCTAAGGGGGAGTTCACACGTTTTCCGAGAGGAACAGTGATGAACCCGGCGCGCGTGGGTTCGTCGTGATGAACCCGGTTCGTCACGGGTTCGCCACGTGGCGAGCTGTGATTCGCCAAATTTTTTTTTTTTTTTGTAAAAGTAAAAAAAAAAAAAAATTATTTTTTATTCCTATGAACCTCTCTCCATCAGGTTCACTGATGGGGATGCTCTTAGGTTCGTTAAAGAAGTACAACCCCAACACAGATAAAAATATAAGAACACTGTAAAAGTTATTGGAACCGTACAAGCAGAAGGGTGACTGAGATTGCCTTTCATACAGTGTCCCATTTCAGGACCGGTATATAACCGTTTAGGGTAACTCTAAGATATTTCAATGGAAAACCAGGTGAATGAATACCTTCAACATCATCAAAAAAGCCATTGAAGTAGTTCCCGGATAAGTTCAGACTACGAACATATTCAAAGGGATGCAGCAAAGAAAGATTTAGGAGAGAATTCTGTTTGAGGAACACTGTATGAAAGGCAATCTCAGTCACCCTTCTGCTTGTACGATTGCACTTAACTCCCTCCCAACGGCAGCAATCGCTTTTTGTGTCGTTAGTCCAAGTAGGCGGAACCAAGTCGGATACCTCTTCTTCAGTAATTGAGATTATGTATTTCTTGAACTCCAACAAAGCCTTCCTTTCTTTATCAACACAGCTTTTGTTTCCATGCAGCTGCCCCAGCAGTAATATCACCCATATCATATATTTTCTCAATAACACCTTCCCCACCATTTTCTTTTTGTTATGGTTATGAGTTCAAACCAAATGCCTCCACCGCTATATAAACTCAACAGGAAATGGTTCTGTATATTTAGAATATAGTCCAAGTCGATCTTTGTTAACGAAATCACTTTAAATGCTATATGACGTACGATAAGTGATTGATCGATACCGTTAACTTATAACTGTATAATAAGAAAATTCAAGGCCTTTGCAAGGAACACTCATAATAAATGTGTGATATATATGTCTCTCGCCTATAAGGCTCGTTTACCACAATTTTTTTTTAGAAGATTTTGGTTGAAAGGTGTTGGGATAAAGATCCCACATTGGATATATGTAAGAGATTTTGTGTAATATGTAAGAGGCTTGGACCAATCCACTAATTGCCAATTGGTTTTAAGTCCAATCATGGTATCAAAACGGATCCACACCCTGACCCGTTAATTCGACCCGGAAAGTGGCCCGATCAACCCATTAACTGATGATCTAGAGAAGCCTCAGTTCTATCGAGATTGCTAAAATAAAAGCATTATCTCGGGTGGAAACCTTTATGATCCCAAACACATAGTTTGCCAGAAATACCTTTTAGAGAACTCTTAATTGTAAACGAACTCTTAATTGTAATCTTGGAATTCTGCTGAAGAACCCTATTAATTCAATGAATAATGTTAACGTTTCTTTTTTGTTTGAAAAGTCACCTGAGATACTATAATACAGTCCTTAATCACTGAAATGTCTACGTGAAAACTTCTAATTTTAGTCCATTCAGGAAATGCCCCACGGTCAAGGAGTTGCTGATGTGGCTATCTTGCTGGTTACTCCTGAAAGAAACGGGTTATCGCCACCATAGGTAAATTAATTTTATGTTCTTAAAACTGTTTCATGCATATGTACTTGCGTTTCTGCAGATTATGTATTGCACTAACCACCAAAATAACCATAAGTCTTTGTTAACGAAATCACTTTTAAATGTTTTATGACGTACGATAAGTGATTGATCGATATCGTTAACTTATAACGGTATAATAAGAAAATTCAAGGTCTATGCAGAGAACACTAATAATAAATGTGTGATATATGTGTCTCGCCTAAGACCTTGCTTGAAAGATAAGGAAATCTAGAAAAAAGCGTATATAATTCTATGAATATTAATTGTAATATTTGAACTCTGCTGAAGAACCATTAATTCAATGAATAATTTTCAAAGATCCTTTTTTTTCTTTGTTGAAAAGTCGCCTGAGATACTAATATGATGTCATTAGCCAGTGAAATGTACAAGTAAAAACTTCTAACATAGTCCATTCATTATACTTGAGGAAATGCCCAACGGTCACCGAGTTGCTGACGTGGCATCTTGGATTGGTTTCATGCAAATGTCCTTGTGTTTTCTGCAGACTATGTATTTGCACTAACCACCAAATTTACCAGCTCCAAGATATCTTCAAAGGCATTAATTAGATTGTGGAGGAAGAAGACAACTTTCTTAAAAGAATGTACAGAGAAGCAGCAGATGGCTTTCGATTAAGAATCTGAGACGAAAGCTGAAAGAATTGCATAGCCTTTCGATAGATAGTAGAAAGCGTGTGATACAAGAATCATTTATCAGCTGATAGTTGACAAAAGAATCTGACAGAAGAAATGTGCTGCCCTCTCCCAAAAAAGCCTCAGCAGGTTCCTAAAGAAAGAAGTACTTCAAAGAGTTCAAGATCTGTCTGCAAGTCCAAGATTGCATCAAGCTTGAGCATAAAACTAGGACGTGGAGTCATGACTTGTGTACTCATTCTGAAGCAGAACTGATTGTGTGATGATAGGTAATGTTGAGGACTAGTGGAATCCAGCTTATAGTTTTTTTTTCCAGAAATCACATCAATCTTTTATTCCAGAGATAAACCACCAGAAGCTTCAGAACGTTGAGCACTTGGTTCAAAAACTCAGACGGCTGAACTCTAGTCATGATGAAGCCAACTAAGATTACATCGCATCCTTATGTGAGAACTCAAATCCTAACACGCGACGGTTGGAAAACGGCGAGGTCTTCTTCTCCGAGATCTAAGCTCAGGGTTAATAGCGTTTCAACTACGCCCGTCAAGCCACCCGATTCAACCCAGAGCTGTTCTTTGTTCTTGAGCAGACAAAGGGAAGCAGCACTATGCATCTGCTACACAAAGAAGGAAGCAAGGTTCTGAATAAGGAGAAGCTCAACCGTAAACTTGTGTGTGACACTGTTAATGAAATTCTCGTGGAGAAACTAGCATTGGTTGAAGCCATAATGATGAAGTCATATGCTAAGAAGACTAAGAAAGCCATGAGTGCGCAAAAGCTATTGAAAGAACTCTGTTCACGTATGGAAACACTGCAAAAGCAAGCCGGGAAGAGATCAGAGAACTTGTTGTTGGAGGAAGAAGACGACTTCCTGAAAAGTATATATACTTAACTTGCAGAAGATGTGATGATTAGGTCTGGGAACTGAGTAAACTTCAATGGAGATATCTCAGGGTTGGTACTGGATGTGGAGATGGCTTATTTTCAAGGATCTGGTGAATGAGATCGTGAATGAGGCTCTCCTTTCTACTTTGAAAGCCTTTCATGCAAGTTATTGTATTCTAATAGTATATTACTTATTGAACAAATTATCAAACAAGCTTTAAGATATATGTTTGGCATTACATTTATTTCAAAGGCAGGGACAGTACATAGGTTATATGAAACAAAGCAGGAGGTTTTAAGAAAAAAGAGCAACAGATGGGGGCACAAGAATAGATTCAGCACCACCAACAATAGTTTTATCACAACAGGTTCTTGGCCTTGTGGATGAAAGCATCAACGAGGTAGAACCAAAATCTTCTCCAAGGAGAGTCGAAAGAGAGAGAGGCGAATATACCAAGAAGTATAGTCACATAAGCTGCAGCTAAACTCCAGTAGAAAGATACCATGTCGATTTGGCTCTCATCATCCATCACTTCATTATCTGTTTCTTGAAATCTATTGCTGCTGCAGCTAGTGTTAGTTGGTTTTCCACAGAGAAGAGGATTACCTAAGTAGCTTTTTGCATCAAAGGTATTAAACTGTTTTCCTTGTGGAATGACTCCAGATAAGTTGTTGAAGGAGACGTTGAAAACAGCTAGGCTGCTCAGCTCCGTTAGCTGTGATGGGATCCGGCCTTGTAACCTGTTGAAAGAGAGATCAAGGCTTTCCACATTCTTTAGACCTGATAATCTATTTGGTATCAATCCTGATAACTTGTTGTGAGAAAGATTAAGAGCTTGTAGTTCCAGAAGACCTCCAAGATCTGTTGGGATATCACCACTCAGCTCATTTCCTGAGAGATCCAGTCCATACAATAATTTGAGATTTCCACCGAGGTAGGTATCATACCGGTGTTTTGTAGTAAATTCAATTTTAATCTGGGTGTCTGGAACGTAATTCATCGTAAACGGTCTTATCTCAATAAGAGACTTGAAAAGGTTTGTTTGCTGATAGAACTGAATAACACCGCCAGAAACACCACCATAATGCTGATCATATAATGTATCCTCTTTCCCAAAAGCAAATGATGTGTTGCTGAAGCATGAAGGTATGGATCCATTCAGTCTGTTGTTGGCAAGATCAAGAAGTTTGATGTCTTTTATGCCACACAACTGGCTAGGAATACTGCCTGTTAAACTATTCCCCCGAAGAAGAAGAGTATGTGTGTATTTAGTGTTGGTGAACGCCGGAATATTCCCAGATAATCTGTTATTTCTCAGATCGAGTACAGCTACATGCGTTAGCAATGTGTCTGGAATAACCCCTGAGAGGTTATTATCTTGAAAGAGTAAAAGGGCCTTCCCTAACGAATTGACTTGTGGAGGTATGTCCCCAGATAAGGTATTTGCCGAGAGGTCCACTAGCTGAAGAAAGAATACGTCGAACAAAGAAATAGGTATTTCACCTTCCAAAGAGTTGTTTGAAAGTAGTAGTGCGTTTAAGTTTTGAAGCTCCCCAATCCAGCTCGGAATAACACCCGTGAGATTGTTGTTAGAAATGTCAAGCAGTTGCAAGCCTCCCAAGTTCCTCAAACCTTGACCAATCTTTCCTGTAAACAGATTGTTATCCATTGACAACTCCCATATACCAGTGAAGTTGGCTGATTCTGGAAGCACCTCTCCACTAAATTGGTTATGTGAAAGTGTCAAGACAAAAATGGAATGACAACCCATTACAAAACTTCTTGGAAGCTCTCCATGGAAGCGGTTGTGAGATATATCCAGATATCCAAGCCTTTTCATGTTACCCAGAGAAGAAGGTAGATGTCCTTGAAATCTGTTATCAGCTAGTTTCATATATCTTAAATGAGGAAATATCCACCCAATATTTTCGGGGAGAAGGTGACTGAAGTCATTGGCTGACACATCCAAGATAAGTAGATTATGAGCAGATTTCGGTAGATGAAAGCTCGATAAAAGATTATTTTGTAGAAACAAAACTTCGAGTTTCGTATTGTTCGTCAATAGCCAATGAGGAAAATCTCCAGACATCTTATTGTCAGAAAGATCAAGGCGACTCAAATCCTTTTGGTATATGAGAAAATTAGGAACCTTCACCAAGTTGCAAGATGATAGTTCAATAACACCCAGTTGAAATTTTGGCTTCCATGAACCTTCAGACTCTACTTGAAATGATTTGGATTTCGAACCAAGTTTGAAAACCCTAAGATGTGAGAGGTTGGCAAGCCACCCAACTGAGAATACACCTTCAAAGTTGTTTTCTAACAACGATAAATAGGTAAGGGATCCAAGGTTACCGAGAGAAGGTGGCACTCTCCCAGTAATCAAATTGTACTTTATACATGTGATAAATTTTATATTAATAATATTAATTTGCTTGAGTAATCCAATTTGTAACGATATCTCACTGGTTATTAACTTATATTGCATCAGTTATTATTATTTTAGATGTTAAATTTTTCACTAGTTTATAACCTAAAGATATTTATTACTTGTTGGAGTCCTCAAACGTTGTTATGATATATGTTTAGTTATATGGTGAAATTTCACTTATACCACAAATTTGGTACACTTTTCAAAATAAATGATTATTTTCATAAATACTTTAAATTAGTGATAAAATAACATTAAGTTAATTTTTAAAATATTTATAGTATATTTATAAACTCAACTCTAATCTCTTAACATTAAACTCTAAACAATAATCACTAAATTTTAAACCTAAATATTAGTATATTTTTTAATTGATGGTATCTCTGAAACGTGGCATTTAACTTGTAACTAGATTTCGACCCACACAACCGTGCGGGTATTTTAATACGAAAATATTTGAAATTATATAATAAAATTTATCAATAAATAAGTATAATGTGATTATTTATACTATCCAATTTATAATCATTTTATGTGACTTATAATATTATTAATCTAAAATTTATAAATTTGTATTTTTGTGATAATTTAATTATTATGTAAGATTACTAATTTATATATTTTGTTTTATTTCTAAATTTGCAATCTATGTAAAAATTAATTAAGTTGGACCTACATAATACATAAACAAAATTTTGGGATATTGTTAAAAGTATTTTACATAATTTCAATTTTTTTGTTTATAAACTAAAAATGAATTAAAATTTTAATTATATTTTCTGATAATTAAAATTTTAATCTAATAATTTGTGAAACTATATCTTGAAAAAGATTCTAAAAGATTTTGTTAGAATTTTCTTAAAACTATTTATTTGTATTTCAAACAAAAAATTAAAGATATGAAAAGATATTATAATGTTATGTAAATTTATAAAACTCTAAAGATGGTCCAAACTAAAATATCACACATGAAGTGAGTCATAACTTCTCTTTTAATATAATAGATACATAGGTTAGCGATTCTACCAAAACAACCCTTTTACCCTCTAATTTGTGAAACTTGTAAACACTAATTCCTTTTTACCTTTTAATCAAATTGTGACAGCTATATATAGACACTATTATTTCTAACTTTCTATTTATTAACTGCTACCAAGTATCTTTTCTATACCCTCAACCTTACTAATGTTTCATTTAAAGTTAAGTGATCCTTCTTAATGTGGTAACGACGTATGCTTTTTTGTAGACATTAATTCGTAGACTGATTGGTTATGCCAACTTGTAACTGCTAAATGGAACTACTATATATTGATATTTTTGAAAATATCTTTTCAAATAAATAAAATCAGCGTAGGGTATATTCCTAACTTTGGCACCGTGGTATATCCACCAAATTGTTTCTAAAATAAACTATTAAATCGGACTAAGGACATCATCAATAATAAGGACATCTTGTGTATCCACTTGTTACTAGTGGACATAAAAACATACCTTTAGCAGGAAAAGGAATATTCAAGTTGTTGTTGTTCCGAAGATAAAGAGTTGTAAGTGATGTAGCCGCATTAAGAAAGGGAAAGATGCTGTTGTTGAAACGATTAAAAGATAGATCCAGAATCTCCAGGTTTCTTAATCTCCCAAGGCTTTTATAACCTGCAAACACGAAAAACTTTTTTTTTTTTTTTGAACTTTTAAACACGAAAATCTCTCAGCATATAATAATGAAAAAACATCTCTCAGCTTTTAAAAAAAAAAACATATCTCAATCATCTGTATACATAATTTCACTACGAAATAACATTGATCTCGTGTAGAATATTTGACGTTTTGGTCTTTTTAACTCATTTCGTGACAAAAAAAAGAAGAAAAAAGTCTTTTTAACTCATAACATTAACAGAAAATATTTTTATGGTGAAGTCCATATTAAATTAGATTTATTTATATTTATCATAGTTTTTTCTGATAAATATATTTATTATAGTTGGTAGGTCTATCTATCTATACTATTATTTGTGATATTTGAGTAACACGTTAAAACTTATAGCTGTTAATGTCAATGATACTCTTAATAAAATTTATAAAAATATATATGCATATATAAATATATATATATTATAATTAAAAATAATATTATATTAATAATATTCAATATATCTGTTATTTTAGGTAACAAAATGATAATTTTTACATGTATAGTGTTTTTATATATAATCTAATTTTTACATAGCATATATGAAAACCAATAAAAAATGTCCTATAAATTTTCTTGAAAACTCATGTCCTAAGCGAAAGCTTCCTTTTCTACAATGGAGGCACAGCTCTGATATGACCCTAACAAAATGATCAAACTAACCACAAGATATGACCGTTTAGGGTAAATAGAAGATGTTCCAATGGAAAATTGGTGAGTACCTTCAACATCATCAAACAAGCCAATGAAGAAGCTACCTCCTAAGTCCAGACTACGAACATCTTCAAAGGGATGCAGCAAAGAAAGATTTAGGAGAGAATTCTTGTTGAAGTATGGTGTACCAAATGCAATCTCGGCCACCCTCTGGCTTGTACGATTGCACTTGACTCCATCCCAACGGCAGCAATCGCTCTTTGTGTCGTTAGTCCAAGTAAAGAGGACATAGTCGAACCACTTTTCTTCAGTAATTGAGAGTAAGTATCTTTTGAGCTCCAACAAAGCCATTCTTTCTTTTTCAACACAGCTTTTGTATCCATGTAGCTGCCCCAACAGTAATATCACCCATATCAAATATTTTCCCAAGAAAAACTTCCTCTCCATTTTTTTGTTATGATTGTGAGTTCAATGCCAATGCCTCCACAGTTATATATAAATACAACAGAAAAAAAAAAATTCTGCACAATTAGAAAATTCTAAGTCTTTTTTATCAACAGAAAATTCTAATTAAGTCTTTGTTAACGATAACATTTTAAAACCATAAGATACAGTGGTGGATCTATTAAAGACAAAGGGGTGTCACATGTCACCCATTAACTCTATATAAAAACAAATTTACTTGTAAAATCATAAAAAAAATCCTTGAAAGATAAGGCATCTGATCCCATTAACCCAATTTCAAGTCCAAGTCCAACCTGACACCTTATTTTTTGTAATAAAATCTTTGACACCCCATTAACTAATAAAATGTAAAGCCATTGACTGAGTGATGGCTGTCGTTTACTTATTGTATGATAAGAAAAGTCAAGGTCTTTGTAGGGAATATGTCTCGCTGTCGGCTAAGAGGACCCTACCGGAAAAAAGAAACAAGTTAACAAAGAATACAAAGACTTAAGGTTGAAATGTAAGGAAATCAAGAAAATGTGTGGTCAGGCCACCTCTCTTTACACAACAGTCGAATGAATCGGGTGGTGGATAGATGATTAGATGTTATCCTCTCAGTCTCACCTATAAAAATATGAAATTACAGCAGAGATATTTTCCTTATACAAAAAATTCAAACAGTGTACAGTGAAAACTTTTAATCTTGCTAAATTTCATATGCTCGATTTTGTTTCTCCTGTAACGAGCAGGGTAACAATCATATTGTATGTTATGTAATATATGAAGTTCTTGAAATTGTTGCCTGGAAAACAAAAACAGTAAATCAATATAGATTGAGAATTCATGAAAGGAGGCAGAGAACCAACGGGAAGTTTTCTGTATTCATACAAGTTCTTGTATTTCTTATATTTTATGTATATTTTTTTATTGAACCAACAACCAAACCGGCTCTAAGTTATCTTTGATTAGGGGTGGATACTGATTGAATATCCAGATTTTTTAAGGTATTTGTGATTTGCTTTGAATGTTACGGATATCTAATTTTGGTATTTTTTTTGCTTCGGAAAAATATGAATATCCGAAAAGCGGATATCCAGAAAAGAAATAGATATTTGCAGATATTTACGAATATTTACGGATATCTCATCAATTTTGAAAAATACAAATAATCTTAAAATTTTGATACAAATCTTCTTTGCAAAAATATTGATATATAAAACAAAAATTAAAAGAACTAGTGAATTTACATATTTGTAATTTTTTAAGTTTAAGTTACAATTATAATAACACAAACTTAAAAAAAATATAATTGTCGTAAATATTTTCTCTTTTCTATGTAATATTTTTATATAAGTAATAATGTGAATAGAATTGTTCAAAATCACGTGCAAGAATAATAATTATATAATTTTATACATTTAAAATTTTGAATATAATTACGATATACATATATTTATATATTTTCTGATCGGATCGAATATCCGTTTCCCATAATTTTAATATTTGTGATTTGCTTTGATTTTAACGGAGATTGATTTTTAGTATTTGATTTGATTCAAAAGTTTACTGATATCCAGATTTCTAGATCGAATTGAAACAAATAACGAATCAAATCAAATTTAACGATATAAAATGTCCAACCCTATGTTTGATGCATTACATTTATTTAAAGACAGACAGTGCACAAGAACCAAGCAGGAGAGTTTGAGAAGAATTCATCACATGGGGACCATCAATGGATTTGAACCAACGCTAATTTCACCATAGAAACTTCCTCGTCCTTGCCCTTTTTTCAAAAAAAAAAAAAAAAAAAACTACTCCAAGGAGAATCAAAAGAGAGAGATGAGAATAATCCAAGAAGTATAGTCACATAAGCTGCAGCTAAACTCTAGTAGAAAGAAGCCATGTCGATTGTGGATTTCTCTGCTTCCACTCCCTTATCTAGTTCTTGAAAGTTATTTGTGTCACAGCTCATGTTGGTTGGTTGTCCACAGAGACGAGGATTGCCTATGTAGCTCATATCGTTGAATGTGTCAAATTGCCTTCCTTGGGGAATAATACCTGATAAATTGTTGTAGGAGACGTTGAAGAGAAGTAAGGTTTGTTAACTGACGAGGGATGTTTCCATGTAACCTGTTATAAGAAAGATCAAGACTCTCAATATCCTTCAGTTTTGAGAAGCTATCCGGTATAGCACTCGACAAGAAGTTCCGAAATAGATTCATGGCTCGTAGTTTCGATAGTTCTCCGAGCTCTTCCGGGATTACACCACTTAACTCATTGCTAGACAGATCCAAACCATACATAAAATCAGCTGTTCCTCTGCTGAACTTAGACTCTTCAGTGTAGGAATCATACCTTTGCTTTGCTGCAAACGTATTTCAAAACTCATATATGTTTCATAGTCTAACTTGAACTCATCAACCAAAAATGTTGTTCTTTAAAGTTCCCAGTGAAGGCTTGATACAAAGCCATATGCCTGAGAGGCTCCATCTCTCACCTGCTCATTCTCTCCTAATCCAAATGATAAATTATATAGGCAAGAAGGTCTGACTCCACTAAGCTTGTTGTTTGAAAGATCTAAAACTCCAATGTTTTTCAGACCACACAGCTCCCTTGGGATAGCTCCTGTTAAGTTATTACCCTTCAACAAAAATATTCTCATGTCCATGGTATTGACAAACTGTGGGATACTCCCAGAGAGTTTATTGTTCCTCAAATCAAGTAGCAAAGTCAGGAAGACGAAGAACGCTTTCCGCAGACCAGTAGCTAAGGCTGCTGAAGCACTAATATATATATACAAATCGTTTCTTATGGTGTGTTATGTAATAAGTAACTGAAGTTCTATAAAGCACTAATATTAAGAGAATTCATGTAAGCAGAAAAAGAATTCTCTGTATTTTATATATATTATGTTGGTTGGGCTCTCCTTTCTACTTTGAAAGCGTTTCATGCAAGTTCTTGTATTCTAGTAGTATATTATTACTTATTGAACAAATCATCAAACCAGTTTTAAGATATATGTTTTGCATTGCATTTATTCAAAGGCAGAGACAGTACATACTTTATGTGAAACAAACCAGGAGGTTCTGAGAAGAGAAGAGCAACAAAGGAGGGCACAAGAATAAACTTGGCACCCCCAACGATAGTTTTACCACAACAAACTCTTGGCCTTGTGAATGAAAGCATCGACGAGGTAGAACCAAAATCTGCTCCAGGGAGAGTCAAAAGAGAGAGATGAGAATATTCCAACAAGTACAGTCACATAAGCTGCAGCTAAACTCCAGTAGAAAGATATCATGTCGATTTTGCTCTCATCGTCATTTACACCATTGTCTGGTTCTTGATAGTGACTTCTGTCGCAGCTTGTGTTGATTGATTGTCCGCAAAGAAGAGGATTACCTAAAAAGCTTTGTCCATCAAAGGTATTAAACTGTTTTCCTTGTGGAATGACTCCAGATAAGTTGTTGAAGGAGACATTGAAAACTTCTAGGCTGCTCAGCTCCGTTAGTTGTGATGGAATCCGGCCTTGTAACTTGTTGAAGGAGAGATCAAGGCTTTCCACATTCTTCAAACCTGAAAAGCTTTCTGGTATCACTCCTGATAACTTGTTGTGAGAAAGATTAAGAGCTTGTAGCTCCAGAAGAGCCCCAAGATCTGCTGGGATATCACCACTCAACTCATTATCTGAGAGATCCATTCCATACAATAATTTGAGATTTCCACCCAAGTAGGCATCGTACCGGTGTTTTGTAGCAAATTCAATTTTAATATGAGTGATTGGCATATAATCCACAATAAACGGATTCAGCACAATAGAAGGTTTGAAATATACAAACTCTGATTCGACACGGTACTCTTCAGAAACACCAGTGAACGAAGTAACACCGCTGGTCACGGTGCCGTAATCATATAATGTATTCACTTTCCCAAAAGCAAATGATGTATTGCTGAAGCATGGAGGTATGGATCCATTCAGCCTGTTCTTGGCAAGATCAAGAAGTTGGATGTTTCTTAGGCCACACAACTGGTGAGGAATACTCCCTGTTAAATTATTCCCCCGAAGAAGAATAGTACTGGTGCCTTGGGTGTTGGTGAAAGCCGGAATATTCCCAGACAATCCATTATTTCTCAGATCAAGAACAGAGACATTATCAGTTACCAGTGTATCTGGAATAACACCTGATAATTTATTATCTTGAAGGAGTAATATTACATCCCTCCTCGAAATGATGTGTGGAGGTATGCCCCCAGATAAAATATTTGCGGAGAGGTCCAACAGCTCAAGATTAGTTAAGTTGAACAAAGAAATAGGTATTTCACCTTCCAGCGAGTTGTTTGAAAGTAGTAGTGTGTTCAAGTATCTAAAATTGCCAATCCAGCTCGGAATAACACCCGTGAGATTATTGTTTGAAAGGTCAAGCAGTTCCAAGCCTTCCAAGTTCCGCAAACCTTGACCAATCTTTCCTGTAAACAGATTGTTATCCATGTACAGCTCTGACATAAGAGTGAGGTTGGCTGATTCCGGAAACACCTCTCCACTTAGTTTGTTATATGAAAGTTTCAAGATGCTCATGGAATAACAACCCATTACAAAACTTCTTGGCAACGTCCCATGGAAGTTGTTGTGAGATAGATCCAGATATGAAATCCTTTTCATGTTACCTAGAGAAGATGGCAAACATCCTTGAAAACTGTTTTCACCTAGTTTCATATGCTTTACATGAGGAAGTACCCACCCGATATTCTCAGGAAGCAAATGATTGAAGTCATTGGCTGACACATCCAGGAAAAGCAGACTGTGAGCAGACTCTTGTAACTGAAAGCTTGTAAACGAATTATTTTGTAGAAACAAAACTTCGAGCTTCGTATTGTTTGCCAATAGCCAGTGAGGAAAATCTCCAGATATTTTGTTGTCAGAAAGAGCAACGCGAACCAATTCTTTTTGGTGTAGGAGAAAATGGGGAACCTTCACCAAGTTGCAAGATTGGAGTACAATAACAACCAGTTGAAATTTCGGAATCCAAGAACCTTCAGACTCTACTTGAAGTGATTTGGATTTTGAATTAAGTTGGAAAAACCTCAGCTCTGATAGATTGGCAAGCGAACCAAGTGAGAAGAATCCTTCAAAGTTGTTATCTAATAACGATAAGTACTTGAGGGATTTAAGGCTTCCGAGAGTAGATGGAACTTTTCCAGTCAATTGGTTTGATGAGAGATCAAGAACTTGAAGTTCAGTTAGGCCAGTTAAGCATAAAGGAAACTGACCTACAAGTTTGTTTCGACTGAGATCAAGCTCTTGCATATTCTTCATATCACAAATCCCTGCATCAAATGAAAATTTACATACACATGAGTAAACATTATTTCACCACCAGTTTTAGTGCAACAACGTAAGATATATGTTTAGACTTGCCTTGCAATCCCATTGATGCAGAAAATTCATTACCACTTAGATCCAAAGCTTTAAGATTTCTCAGGGTAGGTAACACTGCCACAAGAAAAAACCATGCAAAGAAAACAATTTTTCCTATGAACATGATAATCTCAAGAAAATATGTTGTATATATATGGACAGTACTTTTGAGCTACCTCGTATTGGTATGGAGCCATTAAATTTGTTTCTACTCAGGTCCAGCAGTTCCAAGTTTGTCAAATCTTTGAGTTCTGAAAGAGAATCCAACATAAAACAAGAAGCTTACAAATTAACAGGAGAACTATGTCACCATGAAATAGGCCCATGATGATAGATAGAAATGGAAAAACACACCTTCAGCTGGAAAAGGGCCATCCAAGTTGTTGTACCTAAGAAACAGAGTCTTGAGTGATGTAACAGAATTTAGAAAGGGAAATACGCTGTTGTTTAATCCATTTCCATGGAGATACAGGATCTCCAAGTTTCTTAAGCTATTATAGCCTGCAAACGGGACCCTTTTATTTTAGATAAATGTAAACGAGAGCATCTTGCTAAACATTAGAGCAAACTTGCCTTGCAATCCAATTTCTCCATAAAATCTATTCCAGCTTAGGTCCAGAGATTTCAGCATCCTCAGGGCAGATAAATCTGAAAAAGTCAACACAGATGTAACCTTTATATTGCGAACAGCATGATTTTAAAGATTACACGAACCAGTGTTACATGCAGCCATTAAGTCAACTAAAATCTCTGAGATACCTTGTACTTCTAGGGGGCCTTGAAAACGGTTTACACTCAGGTCCAGCAGTTCCAAGTTTGTCAAATCTTTAAGTTCTGAAAGAGAATCCAACAGATACTTAAAAGTCACAAACTAACTATAACATAGACATCATCAATAATAAGGTCATCCTGTATATCCACATCATTTTTTTTTTAACACTGGTTAATTATGCATTAATGAGAAATACTATATAGCCGACAATTTCACCACAGAGATATCATGTGTATCCACTTAGTTACTAATGGAAATTTAAATTACCTTCAGCAGGAAAAGGGCCATCCAAGTTATTATTCCCAAGTGAAAGAGTTTTAAGTGATGTAGCGGAATTAAGAAAGGGAAAGATGCTATTGTTGAAACGATTAAAAGTGAGATCGAGAATCTCCAGGTTTCTTAATCTCCCTAGGCTTTTATAACCTGCAGACAAGAGTCTTTGCTAAGCATATAATGATATAATAATAAAAACGGTACCTCATTCAGTTATTATAGTTTTACGTGACTGTAACACACAAAATAGCACACAGACATGAGCAACTCTGTTCAGAAACAGGGAATCCAAATACCATAATATCAAAAAAAAAAAGTTATAAAATGTTAAACAATAAGGTAACATTTACTCCATATCACAGGTTCGTTAAGTATATATAGAACCCTAACAAAGGGAAAATATAAGAAGTTCCAATGCAAAACAACATGATCAAACTAACCACAAGATAACTGTTTAGGGTGAATATATATAAGAAGTTCCAATGGAAAACCAGTTGAGTGAATACCTTCAACATCATCAAACAAGCCATTAAATCCGTTCCAGGATAAGTTCAGACTACGAACATCTTCAAAGGGATGCAGCAAAGAAAGATTTAGGAGAGAATTTTCTTTGAGGTACAGTTCTCCAAAGGAAATCTCGGTCACCCTTTTGCTTGTACGATTGCACTTGACTCTTTCCCAAATGCAGCAATCGCTCTCTGTGTCGTAAGTCCAAGTAGGGAGAACATAGTCAAACTCCTCTTCTCTGGAGATTAAGTATTGCTTGAGCTCCAACAAAGCCTTCCTTTCCTTTTCAACACAGCTTTTGTATCCATGTAGCTGCCCCAATATTAATATCATCCATATCAAGTATTTTCCCAAGAACACCTTACCCTCCATTTTTTAATTATGATTGTGAGTTCAATGCTAATGCCTACCTACACCGTTATATATAAAAAGGGTTTTAACAGTTAGAAATTCAAGTCTCTGGTAACGATAACACTTTAATGCCATACGTTAAGTGATCGATCACTATCGTTTACTTATATAATTGCATGAAAAGAAAAGTCAAGGTCTTTGTAGAGAAGACTCATTTACCAAAAAAACAAGTTAACAAAGAATTTGGTTAAAAGATAGTGAAATCAAGAAAATGTGTGGTCAGCCTCTCTTTACAACGAATATGGCTGTGACTGTTTACACCCAGCCGAAGAACTGAATCTCGTGATGGATAGATTATTAGATGCTATCCTCTCACCAATAAAAATATGAAATTGCAGCAGAAATATTTTTTGTCTGAAAACTGAAAACTTCTAATTTACCATTATACTTGTGGAAATGCCCAACAGTCACGGAGTTGCTGAAGTAGCTCTCTGGTCTTTTTCTTGTTTTGCTAACCTTATATGCTCTATGCTCATTCAAAGACACACAGTACACATAAACTAAATACAAGTTTGTGACATAAAAACAGGAGGGTTTGAGAAGAAGAAACATCAGATGGGGACCATCAATGGATTTGAACCAATGTTAATTTCACCACAGAAAATTCCTGACCTTGTGAATAAAAGCATCAACGATGTAGAACCAAAATCTGCTCCAAGGAGAGTCAAAACATAGAGATGATAATATTCCAAGAAGTATAGTCACATAAGCTGCAACTATAAACTCCAAATCAGTGCGGACATAGAACCCGATATCCATGGAAATTATAATCCACATGACCACATCACATATTACTTACAAGTATTCAAAGATAGACAAGACAAATACTCAAGAACCAAACACAAGCTGTTTTTTTGGTTTCTGTGACACATAAACAAGAGCTAAGAGGTTTTGTGAAGAAAAACAGCAAAAAATGAAAAATGATTTGGCACCAGCAATAGTTTACCATCAACGGTTCCTCACCTTGTGGATGAAAGCATCAACGATGGAGAACCAAGCTCTGCTCCAGCGAGAATCAAAAGAGAGTGATGTGAATATTCCAAGAAGTATTATTACATACGCTCCAGTACAACTCCAGTAGAAAGATAACATGTCGATAGTGGAATCATCAGCTGTCACTTCATTATTTTCTGGTTCTTGAAAGTTATTACCATAGCAGCTTATGTTGGTTGGTTTCCCACAGAGAAGTGAATTACCTAAGTAGCTCCCCGTCTCAAAGGTGTTAAACTGTTTTCCCAGAGGAATGACTCCTGATAAGTTGTTGAATGAGACATTGAAAACAGCTAAGCTATTCAGATCTGTCAGTTGTGTTGGAATCTGGCCTTGTAGTCTATTGAAAGACAGATCAAGGCTCTCCACTTTCTTCATACCTGAAAAACTTGTTGGTATCACACCTGATAAAGAGTTGTGAGAGAGGTTTAGAGCATGTAGTTCCACAAGACTTCCTACCTCCACTGGAATCTCACCACTTAGCTCATTTACTGAGAGGTCTAATCCAGAAAAGCCTAGAAGATTTCCACCCATGTAAGTATCATATCGGTGTTTTGTTGCAAATTCAATTTTTATCTGAGTGCCAGCCAAGTAATCTATACTAAAAGGATCTAGCACAAGCAGAGATTTGAAATATATACCAATATTCTCAGCAGAGCTAGCATCTTGTTCCCGCATGAAGCTAGTGAAGACATCACTAGGAATGTAACCAAATGTGAAACCATAACCATTTGATGTATCCCTTTTCTTCAAACCAAATGATATATTTCTAAGACATGAAGGTATGGATCCATTCAGTCTGTTGTTAGATAGATCCAAAAGGTAAATGCCTCTTAGGCCACACAGTTTTTGAGGTATAAGACCTGTTAAATTATTCTCCCTCAGAAGAAGAATACTAATGTTCTTGGTGTTGATGAACTCCGGAATATTCCCAGACAATCTGTTATTACTCAGATCAAGTACACTGACATTTAATAGGAGTGTATCTGGAATAGCTCCTGATAAATGGTTGTCTTGTAGGAGTAACACTACTTCGTTTGTTGAATTTACGTGTGGAGGTATGTCTCCATATAAGGTATTTGCAGAGAGATCCACCATTTGTAAACTGGATATGTTGAACAAAGAAATAGGTATTTCACCTTCCAGCAGATTGTTTGAAATCAATAGTGCACTTAGATGGAGTTCACCAATCCAATTTGGAATAACACCTGAGAGACTATTGTTTGAAATGTCAAGTAGTAACAAGTGTTGCATGTTCCGCAAACCTTGACCGATCTTTCCTGTAAATTGATTGCTATCCATTAACAGCACCACTATACCAGTAAAGTTTGTTGATATTGACAAAACCTCTCCACTTAGTTTGTTATGTGACATCTTCAAAATTGCCAATGAATAACAACCTTCTATAAAACTTCTTGGTAGCTCCCCATGGAAACTATTGTGAGATATATCAAGAAACTCAATACCTTTCATATTACCTAGAGAAGATGGTAAATCTCCATGAAAACCGTTATTCGATATATTTATATATCGTAAAGAAGGAAGTCTCCACCCAATGTTAACAGGAAAGTTATGATTGAAGTCATTCACTGACACATCCAAGAAAAGCAGATTATGAGCAGATTCTGGTAGCTTAAAACTTGTAAAAGAATTATTCTGTAGAAGCAATATTTCTAGTTTTGTATTGTTAGTCAACAACCAGGAAGGAAAATTTTCAGATATTTGATTATCAGACAGGTCAACTTGACGCAGTTCCTTCTGATGTAGGAGAAAATGAGGCACTTTCTTCAACTTGCAAGATCGTAGTACAATAACACTCAAATTAAATATTGGCTTCCAAGAAGTTTCCAAATCTATTTGAAGTGAGTTGGACTTTGAGTAAAGTTTTAACACCTTAAGCTTTGAGAGGTTGGTTATAGAACCAAATGAGAATAGGCCTTCAAAGTTGTTATCAAACAGAGATAAGTACTCAAGGGAGTTAAGCCTACCGAGAGATGGTAGTTTCCCAGTCAATTGGTTCGATGAAAGATCAAGAACTCGAAGTTTAGTCAAGCTGGTTAAACATAAGGGAAACTGACCTACAAGGTTGTTTTGACTGAGATCAAGCTCTTGCAAGTTCTTCAGTTCGCAAATCCCTGCAATGGTCAAATGCAAAACTTTCATTTTCATAATTAACGTGGATTCACTATCAGTGTTACTGAAAAAAGTTAAAAGAGATTTATAAGGACTTGCCTTTCAATCCCAGCGAGCCAGAAAAATGATTACCACTTAGATCTAGAGCTTTCAGTTTCACCAGGGTAGATAACTCTGCCACAGGATAAAGCCTCACAAAAAGGTTAACCTCATGAAGATATTAACCCAAAAAAGCAAGCATTAATGGATATTAGTTTTTTGAGCTACCTTGTCCTGGTATGGAGCCACTGAAGCCGTTACTACTCAGGTCAAGCAATTCCAAGTTTCTCAAATCTTTAAGTTCTGAAATGGAATCGACCAAACAAAACATACATCATAAAAAAACTGGTCCTTCTAGAGCTAGTTACAAAACGGATAAACATATATACCTTTAAAAGGAAAAGGGCCATCCATGGAGTTACGCCGAAAAATTATAGTCGTAAGTGATGTAGCAGCATTAAGAAAGGGAAGTATGCTGTTGTCGAATACATTTAAAGAAAAATCAAGAACCTCTAAGTTTCTTAATTTCCTTAGGCTTTTATAACCTGCAAACGAGAATCTAGCTAAGCATACAGTGATTACATACCCCACTCCAAGCACTTAGTATCATTCTAATGTGTGTGCAAATAGAGATTGCGAGAGATGACTATATATTATGCAGGTGTGTAACAAAATGTAAGTGGCCGTATTATGTGACTGCACAGACACTAACTAACTTTCTTATGAAGAAACAATGATTTAATCCAAATAAAAATCTTTGGAGAAATATAGAAATAAGCCACCAAACTGATAATCTGTCCCGGATAAGTTCAAACTTCGGAGCTCTTCAAATGGATGCAGTAAAGAAAGATCTAAGAGAGCCTTTTCCGGTAGATACATGTATTCAAAAAAGGCAAGCCCATTGACTCGACCGCTTGTGAGATTACAGTTAACTCCCTCCCATTTACAGCAATCGCTAGTTGTGTCATTAGTCCAGGTCTCGAGAATATAGTCGAATGTTGGGTAGTGATGCTTTTGAAAGCCGTCTGAGGCAAGATATGTCTTGAGATTCAATAAAGCCTTCCTTTCTTCCTCGATGCAGCTTCTGTATACATGTATCTGTCCCATCACTATTATCATCATCATCCATATCAAGTACACCTTCCTCTCCATTGCAAATAAGCTTCTTTTTTGTTTTAAGTAAATGACAGAAAATTTCCTAGAGAAATGACTCTGAGTTCAATGCAATTACTTCTATCTTTATAAAGTAATCAAGGTTTCTGTATGTAAGAATATAACTAAACAAAAGTCAAAACCAAGTTCTACAAGAAATATTTGTACATTAAACAAAGGTCAAGTCTCTGTTTCAAATCATATTAAACTAATTCAAAGTCTTTGCAGAAAATATTTATAACCATAAGATTATGTACGTGGCGTGGTCAGTCAGCATCGTATACTTCAAGCAAGCTTTATATAATTATATTATCATATGTTAGTCAATTAACTCATAGAAAATAAGAATTCCCATCCTAAGACTTTTTACCAGATTATACCAGGAAATAACTAAGGAATTAATCATATACATATCTTCTGGAAAAACACTATTCTTTTAGCAAGAAGCTTGTGAATAGACCTTATTCTATGTTCCAACCCTTTGAATGCTGCTAAACAAGTGAATAGACTTGAAGAACAGAGCTTCTGTTGTAGCTTTAACTTAGGGAAACTTTTGTTTGTTTCAGTAACTAAACAGAAAGTCTCAGCACATTTCACTTACAGAGAGTACTGAAATACAAGAACTGAGCTAAAATAAATTTAAGACGCACACTCTTTTTTTATAGAGGTGATGAAAGCATCAACAAGGCGGAGCCATGCTCCACGCCAAAGACAATCGAAGCACATAAGGACAAGAATACCTATCAACGCAGTTACATAAGTTGATGCACTAGTCCAATAGAAGACCATCATGTCAATATCAGCTTCATCATCTTCTTCTTCTCCTCTTTTATCAACTACTTCTTCTCCTCTTTTATCAACTTCCTCTGTTCTCTTCTTAGCTTCTTGACAACTTCTCTTGGTCGGTAATCCACAAAGAAGAGGATTGCTTAAGTAGCTCATATCGTTCAATGTGTCAAAATGCCTTCCTTGGGGAATGATGCCTGATAAATTGTTGTAGGAGACGTTGAAGACAGCAAGAGAAGTAAGGTTTGTTAACTGGCGAGGGATGTTACCATGTAACATGTTATAAGAAAGATCAAGACTCTCAATATCCTTCAGTTTTGAGAAGCTATCCGGTATAGAGCCTGACAAGAAGTTCCGAGATAGATTCATGGCTCGTAGTTTCGATAGTTCTCCAAGCTCTGATGGGATAACACCACTTAACTCATTGCTAGACAGATCCAATCCATACATAAAATCAAGTGTTCCTCTGCTGAACTCAGACTCTTCAGTGTATGAATCATACCTTTGCTTTGCTGCAAACTGTATTTCAAAACTCATATATGTTTCATATTCTATCTTGAACTCATCAACCAAAAATGTTGATCTGTAAAGTTCCCAATGAAGGCTTGGTACAAAGCCATATGCCTCAGAGGCTCCATTTCTCACTTGCTCATACTCTCCTGATCCAAATGATAAATTATGGAGGCAAGAAGGTATGTCTCCACTGAGCTTGTTGTTTGAAAGATCTAAAACTCCAATGTTTTTCAGACCACACAGCTCCCTTGGGATAGATCCTGTTAAGTTATTCCCCTTCAACAAAAATATTCTCATGTCCATGGTGTTGACAAACTGTGGGATACTCCCAGAGAGTTTATTGTTCCTTAGATCAAGTATCTCAGCATTTTCCAACAATGTTCTTGGTATCTCTCCAGTGAAGCTATTGTTATGTAAGAACAACTTTATCCCATACATAGAACTATCATATGATGGCAAGGCTCCGGATAATAAGTTCCCAGAGAGGTCAAGAAAGTTGAGATGTTGATTAGCCAGGAGAGAAGAGGGTAACGTACCTTCTAAGAGGTTGTTTGATAACAATAACATAAACATATCAGATGAGTTTGGTATCAAACTTGGAACAGAACCGCTGAGAAGATTGTTTGATATGTCAAGTACTGACAAGTTAACCAAGGTAAGGAAACCTTCACCGATCTCCCCAGTGAATAAGTTGTTATCCATCCTCAACACTACCAATGATGTTAGGTTCGTCTGTCTTGGAAGAACATGACCAGTAAATTTGTTGTGAGACAGGTGCAGGATTTGTAATGAATAACAACCTGTGAATAAGCTTCTAGGTATCTCTCCAGAGAGATTGTTATGAGACAGGTCCAGGAATGATATATTCTTCATCTCACCAATAGATGATGGAAACTTCCCTTGGAAACTATTATGAGAGCCATTCATATGTATCAGATTTGAAAGCACATGTCCAAAACCATCAGGGAGCACTACTCCGTTGATATTATTTGCTGAAAAATCCAAGAACTGCAACTTATGGACTATTGTAGGAATCTGGAAGACAGCGAATGAGTTACTCTGCAGCTGTAGAACTTCAAGTTCTGGATTATTAGCCAAGAGCCAGGAAGGAATGGTTCCGGGTATTCTGTTGCTGGATAGATCAAGTAGAAGCAACTTCTTCTGGTACATGAGAAAGTTTGGGATCTTCTTCAAGCCGCAGGACGGTAGAGAAGCAATACTTAGTTGAAATTTAGGCAGCCAGGTACTTTCTGTAACTACTTGGACCTTATCAGATGTTGATGAAAGTTTGAGCACCTTGAGGTTTCTGAGGTTGGCAAGTGAACTAAGGGAGAACAAGTCTGTGAAGTTGTTATCTGATAATGACAGATATTCGAGGGAGTCAAGGCCATTGAAACTAGATGGTAGAGTTCCACTTAATTGGTTTAGTGAAAGGTCAAGAACCTGTAGCTTGTTCAAGATACCTAAACACAGAGGAAGCTGGCCGGCAAGGTAATTTCCACGGAGGTAGAGCTCCTGCAGATTCTTCATTCCACAAAAAACTGCAGAAACATAGTTCATAGATGTAATGAAAAATCTTGAAAGTGAAAGCAAACACAGGAAACTTTCAAGTTTCAACTTAGTCATATACTTCTGTTCTGAAATAAAGTACATAAAAGCAAAGGAAAAGAGATTTAAAAAGCTAACTTGCCTTGCAATTCCATTGAGCTAGAAAAGTAGTTAGTACTTAGATCCAAAGCTTTGAGGCTTTTCAGGTGACTAAACTCTGCCACAGGACAAAGAGACATAAAGCAAGACACATGTTATTATTATGGATAGAATGATCTCCAAGATGGCATAAACCAACAATTATGTACAAGTTAAATCTGTTTTTAGGTCTACCCTGAAGACCAAACAAGAGACGTAGGTGCTACCTGCCATGGAGTTGTTATATCCATTTCCACTTAGATCCAGCAGTTCCAAGTTTGTCAAGTTTCTCAGTTCTGAAAGGGAGTCTAGGAGAACAGAAGAGTGATAAAGAAAATGACAGAGACTACAATACGAAAATAAGCAATAAGTAGACCTTGTTAGAAATGGAGAAACACACCTTTAACAGGAAAAGGGCCATCCATCTTGTTGAACCCAAGAAACAGAGTTGTAAGTGAAGTAGCAGCGTTAAGAAAGGGAAAAATGCTGCTGTTGAATTCATTTGAAGAGAGATCCATAATCTCCAGGTTTCTTAATCTACTTAAGCTTTTATAACCTGCAAGCGATAATCTTATTAACAAAGAATCTAAAAATAAGATAGTCCACCCTAATCACTTCAATAGGTTCAATGACAACTTCAAACCTACTCTGCATGCAAATGGAATACAATAACCTTTTGATGCAGAGAAAGTTCCATAGTGTTAAGACATAGACAAATACCTTCCTTATCATCAAACAAGACACTGAAAGCGCACTCAGATAAGTCTAGACTTTGAACCTCTTCAAAAGGATGCAACAAAGAAAGATTAAAGAAAGAATTCTCTTTGAGATACAAATCACCAAAAGCAATCTTGGTCACACGTCTGCTTGTACGACTGCACTTGACGCCCTCCCGACGACAGCAATGGCTCTTTGTGTCATTTTTCCAAGTAGGGAGAACATAGTCAGATTGTCCTTCTTCAGAAACGTTGATCAGGTATTGCTTGAGGTCCAACAAAGCGTTCCTTTCTCTCTGAATACAGCTTTTGTATCCGTGTAGCTGCCCCAACAGTACCATCACCCATATCAAGTAATGACCCAAGAACACCTTGCCTTCCATTGCAAGTTTGATCCAAAAAAAAAAGCAAATGGAAGAAACTCAGAAGCGATGTGAGATAGTGAAGTCAGTGCAAAGATCTCTGCATCTATTACTATAAGCATTCAACTTTCCATACCAGAGTTGTTGGAAATAAATTTATGTTCACAGAGTGGAAGTCTCTGTTAGTGAAAAACTCAAAAAGCCATGTGACATGCGAAAGAAACTCAAAAGCCATGTGACATGAGTAGTAGCCTGAGAGGTATCACTATTTTTTTAACTTTTTGACTTAGATAATAAAACTCATTATGGCATGCAAAGTCAAAGTCTATTAAAAAATATACTTGTAATCATATGATATGAATCTTGTACTTACTTTGGCCAAGCTTTTATATTATATGATATTGTGTGGCGTTGTTAGCATCTGTTGACTGTTGGGTAGCAACTAGCAAGAAAGTTCACCAGTTTTTTCATTAAACATTTTGCCAATAGAGAATCCCTGATCTAAGCATTCAACAAATAAAGTTGTAACCTAGTTGGTGTTACTAAGACTCAAAAAACAAAATGAAAAATGTCAATGTCATGCCAACACTAGTTGTTAGCAAATGTGATTAAATTAAGCAAAAGAAGATAACGAAGATACAAAAACCTGAGTATAAAAATCTTAGAGAGGTAAGCAGTCACTGGATCCCTGTTAATTAAATTTCCACGAATCAGATGCTAAAAACGTGTGATCTTGCCTGAACTTTATACTATGTTACACCGGCTTGTCTGAAGGTTAACTAACCGAGTTGCTGATGTAGCTTTATCTGCCACGTAAGACACAAGTAATTTTACCGCCAAAACGCAAACGCTGCCGTCTAATGCACCATTTTGTGTCAGCAAGATAAAAACAGCATCTACCATCGTCGTAGCCCATCCAATCGGAGTTTTAATCAGAAATTTAGGCCACCGAGTGATAATGATAGTGATACGTAAGACATCGTGGGTCAAAAAATAGAAGAAATAATTATAGCGGCATTTTAAGAAAAATACGAGACAAGAGGGTTTTACTTGCAATATATTTTGTAAGGAGATACGTTGCTTCGTAAAGAGGCAACTTCTCTCGTACCCCTATTTTTTTTAGAGCTAATCTCATATGGGTTCACTTGATCTCTTATGCCCCTATTTCATAATTCTTTTTTTGATCAAAACCTAAACTCCCAAATTAAATCCTTCCCGGTGTTCAAAACTAAACAAAAATCCTCCCCAATGAAGGGGTGAACCCTTGGGTAAATATTTAAATTCTATAGCTTTCAAATTGGAAAAAAAATATTTTAAAATCGTTTTTTAATCATATTTTAATGATTTTCGTGAAAATATGAAAAAAAGACGTTTTTTGATTTTTGAAATATTTTTATCAAACTCTATAAATCAAATAAAAAATATTCACGTTTTCAATTTAATTTTATGATTTTTCGTTTGACATATAAAATTAAAAGAAGAAACGTGTCCTAGAAAGATTAGAGAATGAGATTTAGGAGTATGAGAGGATTTGTCTCCTTCGTAAATAGTATATTCTCCACATAAATTAACTAATTAATTGAATTTATTAACAACCTGAACTTGTCTCTTTTAAGTTTTAACCAAAACGGAATATTCGTGTGTGTATGAACTGAAGAATGATAGATCCACCAAAGCAGGTCAGTTGACTAACTTTTGGATAACAATAGATCCTAAGTAAACGGACAGACACCAATTGGGTGTCTGAAGAGAGACAAGAGACAGAAAGAGAGTTAAACAAACATTCCGATTGATCCAAGAAATCGTCATGATTCTTACAAGTAAGCTTCTCAATTCCTTCTTTTTTTTTTCGTTTTCACAGGGGAGATTCCGAGAACATTGTTGGAAAATGCTGAGATACTTGATCTGAGGAACAATAAACTCTCTGGGAGTATCCCACAGTTTGTCAATACCATGGACATGAGAATCTTTTTGTTGAAGGGGAATAACTTAACAGGAGCTATCCCAAGGGAGCTGTGTGGTCTGAAAAACATTGGAGTTTTAGATATTTAAAACAACAAGCTTAGTGGAGTCATACCTTCTTGCCTCCATAATTTATCATTTGGATCAGGAGAGTATGAGGAGGTGAGGAATGGTGCCTCTGAGGCATATGGCTTTGTATCAAGCCTTCAATGGGAACTTTACAGATCTACGTTTTTGGTAGATGAGTTCAAGTTAGACTATGAAACATATATGAGTTTTGAAATCCAGTTTGCAGCAAAGCAAAGGTATGATTCATACACTGAAGAATCTAAGATCAGCAGAGGAACACTTGATTTTATGTATGGATTGGATCTGTCTAGCAATGAGTTAAGTGGTGTTATCCCGGAAGAGCTTGGAGAACTCTCGAAACTACGAGCCATGAATCTATCTCGGAACTTTTTGTCGAGTTCTATACCGGATAGCTTCTCAAAACTGAAGGATATTGAGAGTCTTGATCTTTCTTATAACATGTTACACGGTAACATCCCTCGTCAGTTAACAAACCTCACTTCTCTTGCTGTCTTCAACGTCTCCTACAACAATTTATCAGGCATCATTCCCCAAGGGAGGCAATTTGACACATTCAACGATATGAGCTACTTAAGCAATCCTCTTCTTTGTGGATTACCAACCAAGAGAAGTTGTCAAGAAGCTAAGAAGAGAACAGAGGAAGTTGATAAAAGAGGAGAAGAAGAAGTTGATAAAAGAGGAGAAGAAGAAGATGATGAAGCTGATATTGACATGATGGTCTTCTATTGGACTAGTGCATCAACTTATGTGACTGCGTCGATAGGTATTCTTGTCCTTATGTTCTTTGATTGTCTTTGGCGTCAAGCATGGCTCCGCCTTGTTGATGCTTTCATCACCTCTACAAAAAAAGTGTGTGTGTCTTAAAATTATTTTAGCTCAGTTCTTGTATTTCTCATCAAGCAAACTATTGAATCCACTGACTCTCTGTAAGTGAAATGTGCTGAGACTCAGAGATTTCCACACACCTTGAAGATCTTCTTCTGTTTAATTACTGAAACAAACAGAAGTTTCACTTAGTTAAAGCTACTATAGCAACTCTGTTCTTCAAGTCTATTCACAGGCTTCTTGCTATAAGAATTGTGATTTTCCAGGAAGATAAGTATGATTAATTTCTTTAATTAGTTCGTGGTATAATCTG